CATCCAACAATTTTCTTACCCGAAGGCGGCTTCACAAGATCCCAAGTTCTATTCCGATGGAGAGACTCAATTTCTTCATTCATCGCAATCAACCACTTAGCGGAATTATCATAAGAAACTGCATCTGAGTAGGAAGTAGGCTCACCAACTTCACTTGTCTCTTCTGCAACAGACAAAGCATATGCAACCAAATTTGCATATCTTTGTGGTGGTCGAATATCTCTCTGTGGTCTATCCTTGGCTATGGAATATTGCTCTTCCTCTGGATCATCTGCGTCAGTAGACTCGGGACCACCTACTGGCATTCTTTGAGTAGAAGAGTTTGACTTAAAAGAATCTGAACTACCAATCTCAAGCTCCACCTGCTTCTGCGCACTATCATTTGTACAACTAGTAGAATCCTCTTTAGAAGATAACATAAATAATTCATCAAAAGTAACATCTCTACTGATTACAAATTTTGGAGATTTGGGATCAGAACACCATAGTCTGTATCCTTTCACCCCAGAAGCATACCCAAGGAAAATGTACTTTTTAGCCCGAGGCTCTATTTTTCCTTCATTTACATGCATGTATGCTAGACACCCAAAAATTTTAAAATCAGAGTAATCAGCAGGAGTACCTGACCAAACTTCCTCCGGAGTTTTAAAGTTAAGTGCTGCAGAAGGAGCTCGGTTGACAACGTAACATGCCATATTAATCGCCTCTGCCCAAAAGTTCTTTGTCAACCCTGCATTTGAGATCATACACCTTGCTCTCTCCAAGAGTGTTCTGTTCATACGTTCGGCCACACCATTTTGCTGAGGCGTCATCCTAATAGTGCGATGCCGAACAATTCCTTCATTTTTGCAGAATTCTTCAAAGTCACCTTCACAAAATTCCATGCCATTATCTGTTCGAAGCCGCTTAATCTGTTTACCTATTTGTTTCTCAATCAAAACCTTCCATTGTTTAAAGGTTAGAAAAATATCATTTTTATGCTTCAAAAAATAAACCCAAACTTTCCTGGAATAATCGTTAATGAAAGTCAATATATACCTAGCACCACCCTTAGACTGAACATGAGCTGGACCCCAAAGGTCTGAATGAATATAATCAAGAGTACCTTTCGTTTTGTGAACTGCCGGAGAAGTGAAGCTGACTCTTTTCTGCTTTCCAAAAATGCAGTGTTCACAAAAATCAAGTGGCCCAGTACTCTGTCCGCAAAGTAGACCCCTTTTGCTCAATATGCTCAAACCTTTTTCGCTCATATGACCCAAACGCATATGCCATAATTTGGTGATGTCAGAATCAAACAATGATGATGACAAAACTGCAACCGAACTTGTGACAGTAGTTCCCTACAGAATATACAAGCTACCAGACCTACAAGCTTTCATAACAACAAGAGCACTTCTAGAAACTTTCATAACTCCACCTTCAGCTGTGTATTTACACCCAAGGGCCTCTAGGGTGCCTAAAGAGATGAGATTCTTTTTTAAATCAGGAATATCTCTAACATTAGTGAGCGTCCTCACAATACCATCATGCATTTTAATTCGGATTGTGTCTCTACCAACAACATCACATGCGGCATTATTGTCCATCAAAACAATTCCACCATTACAAGATTCATATGTGGAAAACAAATCCCTATTGGGACACAAGTGATAAGAACAACCCGAATCTAAAATCCATTCATTTTTAGACATCGTCCTGTCATCAATAGCAGAGAAAATATTTCCAACATTCTCATCAGTTGCTACACTAACTTCAGCGGATTCAATATTTTTCTCAACAAATTTTTCCTTTTGCTTTAATTTATTTTTCAATTTAAAGCAATCAGTCTTAATGTGCCCCATTTTATGACAATATCTACATTCCAAATTTCTATGTCTGGATTTAGATCTAGATTTAGATCTACTACTGTCAAATTCTCTTTTATCCATTCTCCCCCTAACAACCAGACCTTCAGCCTGATTCCCTCTACTTTCCCTAGTGATATTCCTGTCTATCTGCTCCTTAGATTTCAGTGCAGATTTAATTTCTTGATACAAAACTGTTTCTTTTCCATAAATCAAAGTATCATGGAAATGCTTAAAAGATTGGGGAAGAGAACACAAGAGTAACAAAGCCTTATCCTCATCATCAATTTTTGCATCTATATTCTTCAAATCCATAACCAAAGAATCAAACTTATCAAGATGTGAGAGTATAAATGTACCTTCAGTCATCCGAAGCATATATAGACTCTGCTTTAAGTAGAGACGATTCTCCACTGTCCTCTTCATGTACAAGGCTTTAAGCTTGTCCCACATGCCCTTAGCCGTAGTCTCCGTAGCTACCTCCCGTAAAACCTCATTAGAGAGATTTAGAATGATGCTTGATCGGGCCTTCTTATCCATACCCGCAAGCTCTTCTTTTGACATATCATTTGGAATGCTCTCGGCTCCCTGTAGTACCAAATCAACTCCGTCTTAAACCAGAATGGCCTCTATCTTGAGTTGCCACAAGCCGAAGTTGACATTTCTATCGAATTTCTCGACAACAATCTTTGTTATTGTCATCGTTGCCAAAAGATCCCAGAACCAGGCTCTGATACCAGTTTGTTAGAGCTAGCCCCAGGATATTTACCACAAGGTAATTTTGGCAACACAACAAAGACAATAAAATGGAAAAGATAAAAGCGACAAGAACACCAGAACACCAGATATACGTGGTTCGGTCAATTGACTTTGACCTACATCCACGGACGAAAGAGGAGCAAATTACTACTGCAAAAGAGGGACAATTACAAATGCCTTAGGAAGATGTTCCTAGGTCATAAAACACCCGAAAATACTAAACAAGAAAAACTCAAACTATAAGTCCACCTATTTAACTGAGTGTGGACTTAAACCAAAGTAAATACTTAGGTTTTCTTGTGGTGCATTTGACTTCAAAGCTCAAGCCCTTATTTATAGTTCTAAGACGAGATAACAATCCTGATTTTCCCGACGTGGGACTATGGACTTGCCAAACTAACATAGACGAGATGATGTGGTGACTACTATGCCGTGGCCGTGTAATGCGTGGATCTCTGGTCGTGTTAGACGTACCACTCTTTTCATGTTAATTCTTTTTAGAGTAACTTTTTTTCATTGTGTAAATTACAAAACGTTGTTATATTAGCAATCAAGAGGATACGTAAGAGAGGAAGAAAGATATTTTAGACAGGAATTTGATGGTTTTGTATTTTGTTATATCAGCAATTAGAGAGGACGACATCAATGTTGAATTATATGCTTCCCCTTTCATCGTCAATTTTTCCTTCTTTTTCTAAAAAATAAACTAATAACTCAATAAATCGATTACAAATGTTTTCCTTTTGAGGAGAGATTAAAAACTTGCAAAGATCACCATGAAAATTTTGTTTCACAAGAAGATGATATGTTGAATGCTCCGTGTCATGCACGTTGCATGGTCTCGTACCAAAGTAAAAGATGCTGGTGTGGAGAGATCAATGTTTGGTGGATCCCTTTGTCGTGTTTGACGTGCTGAATGATCACAGGAGCTTTTGGTGGTGGTGTATTTTGCCGGATCAGCAATTAAGTTGATAAATCATGGGAGAGAACAACTTGTATGTTGAATCATGCTCTTCCGTTGCTCGTAGTTTTTTTTTCTTGTTTTTCCAAAGAAAGGAAAAAAACTAATAACTCAACAAATCAAGTACAAAAAATTTCTCTTTCATTTGGGGATTAAAAGCCCACCTAATTTGTATACCTCAAGTCAATCATATTAATTTATATACCTCAAGTCAAGTCAAGTCAATCCTGCTATATTACCTTGCCATATGGCAGTATAAGCTTGTATCATCTTCTCGGAATCGACGATATACGATTTAAGTTGGGCCATACATCGTAATCGTCAGCTGTGGACTTATGTACACGCGAGCAAAACAAAAAGACAAGTATTGTCTCCCCTATGCCAATTTGATAGTCGCATATAGATCACGTATCGAGAATAATTGATCGATAATATTTTTCTTATCAAATTAAAAAAAATTAGACTATAATCAATTAACATTTTATGATTAACACATCCAAAATTGTCGATCTCAACAACTTTATTATAGACACCTCATCACAACTTCAAGATCCTGTTTCCAATTAGGCTTCTATCACTTGCCTCTAAACGACACTACTACACAACCAAAGGGTCCGAACCACCTACACGGCATAACAGTACATACAAATAATACCCTGCGAGCCTAAGAAAGAAGGCAACAACAAAGGAGACCATGTGTTCGATCATTTGTCTGCATTCGTCAAGTCGGAAAGCCTCAGCGCATCAAGAGATCCACAGCCCTGTGGTGTCTTGACAGCACATATATTTTCATAGACTTGCTTCATCGCTGGGCGCGATTCTGGGCTGTTGTTGGCACAACTTAGTGCAGCTGTTAAGACTGCAATTACTTCATCTGCAACTCGAGCCATAGGAAGTGATAGGCGTTGGTCTAATACATCTGTCACAAAGACATTGTTACCAGACGGAGATGACAGAATGGAGATAAGTTCTTCTCCATATGCTCCTACTAGCAACTCAAGCGTGACCACACCAAAGCTGTACACATCACATTTGGTGGTTACTCTCATAGTGTAAGCAAACTCTGCAAACAGCAACAGCAAAAAGATGAAACTTCCAATTTGTAAAGATATCCAAAATATAAACGATTGTCAAATACTAAGTCTACGTATGCTTCGATATAGCAGTAAGTGAATAGGGGATGCAAAATTTAGGATCATTTGTCTTTGATGGATTAATCCGGGAGAGAAACTTACCTGGTGCTAGGTAACCCCGTGTGCCTGCAAGCATGGTCCAATTTGATGAATCCGGCTTCAGCAGTCGAGCAATTCCAAAGTCGGAAACACAAGCCTTGAATTCTGAATCAAGTAGAATGTTGTTGCTTGTGATATCCCGATGAACGATGGGTGGTGCGCAGTCATGATGCATGTAGGATAAAGCACAGGCGACATCCTTCACGATGCTCACCCTCTTCACCCAGTCCAATTCAGCTGCAGTTTCGCTTCGGAGAACAGATGCCAGACTTCCTCTCTCCATGTACTCGTACACCAGAAATTTGTGTCGAGGAGAGGAGCAGAACCCGTAAAGCTTGACGATATTGCGATGTCGAATTTGAGTAAGAGTTTGTATCTCATTTTGAAAGGGTTGCTCGTCGAATGTACCTTCAGTGTCTGGTAGGTGAATCTTCTTCACCGCTAGCAGCTCCCCACTTGCTAACTCTACTCTGTAGACTCTGCCATATGCACCACTTCCGATACAGTATTTGCCATCGAAATCTCCGGTGGCTTCGATGATGTCCTTGTATACATCTCTTCCATCAAAATTCAATATAGAGAATGCACCTTCTTTGTTGTGATTATCATCGACAGGTACTAGCGGGTTCTTTCTCTTGTGGAATCGTAAAGCAGCTGCATTGAATATAAACAAGAGAAGGAAGAAGACGACGGAAGCAATGATGGCTATTACAACCACTTTGTGGCGCTTGCTTCGGTCATCTTTTGTTGTAGTACCGAGTGTAACACACGGAGGCAATCCTCGAACAACTCCACACAGATCATTGTTATGGGCAAACCACTCTGCCGGGGCTCTTCGGAAAGCTGGGCTATCAGGAACAGGGCCGTCCAGTTCATTGTAGGATACATCTACGGTAGACAAGCTCATCATATACGTTAGCGAAGATGGAAGATGACCAGAC